ACTATACTATAAGATTTTGGTATTTAGTAAATGATATTATATTTATAATATAAATAATATAATATATTATTTTATTTTTAACTCTTATTTTTTATATTTGAATAAAAGAATATTTATTTTCAAGGAAATCATTGTTTTATACCAATGATCGATCACCATTGGTTACCAAAACGGAAGCTTTGAAGACGTTAATAAGTTTGCTTGGGGAACAATGGCTTGGTGGAATGATTAACGTTAAAAGTTGGACGAATGAATGGTTATTGCAAGGATCGTTACTATATTTTCAACATTTGCTTATTGATGAGGCAAGGAATTTAATTAATTATTATTAGTTCATATTCTTTTTCTTTTTTTCTTTTTTTAAATTATTATTATCTATTAAGAGAGAGTATCATACGAAAGGGTTTTTCAAAATTATTTCATTTAATATATAATATTTATTATAATATTAAATAATATTTTTTAATTTTATTTAGTGTCATGAATATATTAAAACATTAAAACCCAAAACAACTCTGTTGCATAATTACAAAATATACTTTACTTAAATCCAATTGCATATTTTTAATTCTTGCATTTATTTAATACTCGTTAAACAATTAACACGATGTATAATAAAACGTTTAATTTTAAACGATAATAATTATTAATAACATATGAAAAATGAAAAAAAGTAAAGTAGACTTAACGTAAATAATAAAAAACACCATAGATCATTTATCATATTTATTTTGTGAATTAGAAAATCAATTAATTTTATTCTTTTCTCTTTTTGTTTTTAAAAAAAGAGACATTTTCATGAGATACAACTTTCAGATAGATTCGTCATTGGAATTTGCTCATTCGTTCGTAGCCGATATTCAAACGAAAGAGATGGAATTTGATGGTTATAGTTCGTCAAGGCCATTTACAATCAAAATTAATCCACTTCGCATGATCTCAATTAAGGAACGTAATAGGAGAGGTAAAATATTATTTTGTTTCATTACAATAAGATGAATTTTTTTTTTTTTTTCAGACACGCAAACTCTTCTTTACTTCTCCCCCTCCTCTTCCCCCTCTCCCTCCTCCTAAAGGATAAAAAATTTTGTTTTTCCTACCTTTTCGATTGCTTCTTTTATAGGAGCATGTCTGATTCGCATGTTGCATGGTGCAATAAACAATGATACTGCCTTTAGGATCATCTACAAGAACTTCTTAACAAGGTGGTGGGTATATTAATAATTATAGGAGATAAATACATTATTTATATATTATAAATAAATTTTGTAATTTATTTTTCATTTGATTAATATTTTGATTTCTATAATATGTTTTTTTTTTTTAAACATCAAATCATTTATATATTGATCAGTATTATTTTTTTCAATAATTAATATTAATATTATTAATATTGCGTGTTAGAATTGTTTTTGTGATTATTAAATAAATTAATTAGGAATAATAGAAATTTATATGCACGTTTTTTCGAATATTTCACACACACAAAAGTTAAATTTGATTAAATAGAAAATAAATATTAAAAATGTTTATTAATTAATAACAATTTATTAGTACAATTATTAATAAATTGATTAATATAATATTACATATTTTTTTGTTGATAATTATAATATAATCGTGAAATTGTTTATAACACAAAAAGAAATGTATATTTTCTTAGGATTTATTATTATACCAATTTTCATATTTCACATTTTAGCCAAAATGAAAGTATAGATGCGACAGAATTTTGGAATTTTATGAACGAACAAACGAGATACTTTTCGACAAAATTATTATTCCAAAATATGATTGACAGTTGGATTACTCAAGGTGGTTATCCTCTCGTAAATGTTTCGAGGAATTATGCAGAAAAAACTGCCATCGTCAGACAGGTTTTGAATATTTTTTATTAGTTCAATGATTATTTCACTTTAGGTTTTTTTTTTCTTTCCATTATTATACATTAATATATCATCCACCCCCCCACTGCCCTTCCTGTATAAATAATTTTCTTTTCTTTTTATTTTTGTTCAGAAAAAATTCACTTACGATGAACCAACGAAGGAAAGAAATGATTTATGGGATATACCATTAACTTATGTTGAAGTTAATGACGATTGGTCTAATCCTAAAAAAATGTGGTTACTCAAACACGATAAAGAACAAATTATTCGAAACATTAGTATGATAAAGGATAAACAAAATGAAATTAATTGGATTTTAGTAAACGTCAACAAAACTGGTAATTCAAATAATAATTACGAATAAAAATTTATAATTTAATTGATAATCACATTCGTTAATTATAATATAATAATCATAATTGTATATAATTCATTAATAATAATTATTAATTATAATTTATGAATATAATATATAATTCATAAATAATTATTTAAATACTTATTGAATGTGTTTTATTTTTTATTAACAAAAGGTTACTACCGCGTGAATTACGATGAAAAAAATTGGGAACTATTGGCAAAGGGTTTGGAAAAAAATCCCGAAGATTTTCCAACGGAGACAAGGGCGTCCCTCGTTGATGACGTATTTGCGTTGGCAGCAGTTGGCTTTTCGAAATACGAGACGGCTTTTGGGTTTATTAAATATATGCAAATGAAGGAGAGACATTACGGAACGTGGAACGTTTTAACTCGTCACGTCTTTAAATTAAATAACATTCTTTACGAGAGCTCCGTTTTAATAGATTTTCAGGTACCGACGTTAAATTAAAAAGGTATAATAGGATAGGATGTAAAATCTATGATTAAAATTATCACGTATTTTTTGATATTTTATTATTTATTTATATTTATTTATTTAATTTTATTATCTTCTCGTGCTCGTAATTCAAATTTTGTCATTTTATTGTTATTAAATAGAATCTAATCACTGTATAGTTAATTTTAATTTTGAAAAAAGTTTGAGTATAATGATTTAGGGATTGAGTATTATTGTATTATTATATTAGCATACTTTTGTTTTTCTTATTTCATACGAATAACGCGAAATTTTCTTTACCTGATATTTATTCGTTTGGTTTTTTTTTCTGTTTTTTCTTTTCCAGGAATTTATGCAAAAATTTATCACACCGTTGTACAACGAGGTAGGAAATAATATTTTGGAAGGATCACCATTGACATTGGTTGCCATTAAATTGGCATGCATTTCGGAATATTTTAAATGCATCGATTGGGCTAAACAATGTTTTATTCAATTGAAGACGAATCCTAATTTCAAACACACGTAATATATATATATATATATTTCATTATTATTATTATAATATTAAAACATGTATGTTAAAATAATCGTGGTGCTTGTAAAAAAGATTAATATTATTTTCTAGACTTTTTTTTTTATGTTTTTTTCTTGCAATTATATAAACAATTATGCCAATTTTTGAATATTTTTCTGATTGAATCGTCATATTGAATTTTCTAACCTATAAATGAAAGATTTGTGTATTAATCGAAATAAAATTATTTTAGAATTCCTATGTATATTCGTCGAACGTTATATTGTACCATAGCAAAGCATGGTGGTCTGGAAGAATGGAATTATATTTATCAGAAAGCAAAAAGTAGTATGAAAACAGAAGAAAAATATAATTTATTATCTTCATTCGGTTGTTTTCAAATGCCAGGAATCCTGCAATCGTAAGTAAAGTATAATATAATTATAAATAATAATAAATACACATTGTTATATATATATAAATTTTAATATTATTTATTAGAAATATTGATTTACAAGATTTCAATTATATATACATATTTTTCTTGTTGTTTTTTTTATTGAAGCATCATCGATGAGATTCTTCAGGATGATATATACAATACTGATGAAATATGTATGATATTAAAATCATTTTCAATGAATCCAATTGCATCTAAAATAACATATAAATTTATTATTAATAATTGGAAGAATATTACCGATAGGTATTTGAAATATTTTTCTACTTATATATATATTTTTTTTTTCATTTAAAACTCTTTGAGGCACGCAGGTATTCAAAAGTGTACCACCATCCTATAATAACAAAAAGAACTTGATGAAATTTTTTATTATGTCATTCTTTTATCAATTAAAAAAATAAATACAATTTAGTGCAATTTATGATAAAAAAAAATCAAAATTAGTTTTTACAAATTTCGTAGACCTCAAAGGGTTTAATAAGTAACCTTTTTTTATTTCTTCAAATTTAACAATTTAATTTATTATATAATTGCATTTGTTTCTTTTTAAGGTATTATGATAATTATAAGGTAATGAAATCATTTATCATAGCAATGAAAAATGCTATTACCAACGGACAGGATTTGATGGACGTACGTGTAAAAAAAAATTTTGTTGTTCTTCTCTTTTATTTAAATAACTTATATTATAATTATATTAACAATTATTATAATAATTAATTTTATTATTATTATCTATATATTTATTTTATGATTTGCAGCTTCATACTTTTTGGGAAAACAATTATGAATCCATTAAGACTGTTAAATATGCTGCCGCATTGGTAGAATCTAAATCGAATTTTGCAATATCGTTGATTAACAATTATTCCGACGATATAAAAAAATGGTTGAAGAATCATAACAATGATTCCGGTGTTTAATCGTAAGTTATTAAAGTTGACAAAGTAGAAAAACAACAACAAAAAAAAAGTAATATAATAAATAATATATTTGTGAGACGAATATTTTTTAATTTATACTTTTTTTTTTTCTTTTTTTTTTTTTTTT